CCATTTGACATATAATTTACATGTAATACTGTATAATTTTCAGGTGTACAATGTGTTGTTTTGAGACATATATATTGCAAAATGACTACCATTACAGTATTAGCAACTCCACCATGTTACATAATTATTACCATTTCTTTTTGCAGGGAAAATATTTCAGATTTGTTCCCTTAGCAGCTTTCAGGTATAGAGAATACCTTCTTAACTGCAGTCCACATTGTACATTAATTTCGCAGAATAGACTCATAACTGGATATTCGTACCCTTTGAGCACAGACAGAGAGCTGTCTTTAGAGGATAAAGGAGCAGGGTGTGAAATAGGAACATGTGCAGAAAGACTTAGGATGACTGGAACCTAAAATCTAAGAAAGCTACTATTGTCAGATGCAAACAAATAAGGATTTTATTTTTTATTTTTTAAGTATTTATTTATCCATACAGAACTGGGGTACAGGCTAGAGGTGCAGGGACAGTGAGAGAATTCACCAGGGACAGAGATGGCAGCAGAACAGGCAGATCCACTGAAATACACTGATGAGGGGAGCAGAGGGCCGGTCAGGAGAGGCCTGTCACACCATGTGGGTCACCTCCCAGGCCGGGGATGGAACTTGTGAGGAAGTGTGTGCAGAAGTGGCTGCTGATAGCTTCACAGTGCTGCACTTTAACCTGCTGTACCACTAGGGAGGGTCCAAATAAGGGATTTTAAATGAGGAGTAACTGTATTAGATTTACAAATATATAGCATCACTTTCACCTTACAAAGAAGTAGGTAGAGGCCCTCCCTGGTGGTGCAGCGGGTTAAAGCACAACACAGAATCTAAAGCCGCTTCCGCATGAGTTCAATTCCCGCCTGCCCCAGAGGTGACCACATGGCGTGGCAGACCTCTCCTGACCCACCCGCTGCTCGCCTCAGCAGTGTACTTCCTCGATCTGCCTGTTCTGCTCCCCACTCTGTCTCTGGTGAAGCCTCTCACCGCCCCTGAGCCTCTGGCCTGTACCCCAGTTCTGTATGCACAAATAAAAAAAAAAAAAAGAAGAAGTAGGTAGATCTGAAGAATGCAAAACCAGAGGTTGTAAGTACTGCCACTTTAAACCATGAGGTAGTAACAGAGACTAGATTTTCCTTTTCACTTAGCCAGAAAAATAACACAATAACCACAAAACATCATTCAGACATTGCGCAACAGAATGCATAACTATGATCCCTGAGAATGAGGTAAGCTGTTTGACTTCCCCAATATGCACCCTAGAGGAAGCCTTTATACTGCAGAGAAAGGAACTCCAGAGTCTGGTGGGCTTGTTGAGTTCAGGAGACTGAAGTTTCGAGAGTTGAAGGCTGATGGGAGAGGCAGAGTGCCAGAGAGGATATAACTGAGTAAAAAACTTTGGGGATCTGTGGAGGGTTCTTCCTAAGTCTTTGGCTAAATATTGATCTGTGTATGCAAATGAAGAAACTACTGGAGGCTGGGGAAAGAATGTTAGAAAGTGATAGATCAAACAATTCCACAGCTCACATAGGGGGCTGGGAATATTTTGTATGACGAGTCAGAGTAGGAGTAGGAAGATTAGACACAAGGCATCAGAGTTCACAGAAAAGGAATGCTTTAGTAGAGCAGTTATACTAGATCCTACACTCAAAAGTCTGGCCTAGGTAAAACCTAAAAACATTTTTTTTAAGGTAATATCAATACTTGTTTATTCTGGGAACTTACATGTAACTTTTATATTTTTCATGGGAATTTTATGTATTTTAAAATATAAAAACAAGTAAACCAGGTATTTCCTCAAGAGAACACAAGTCTCACTGCTTTCCAGTTTTATTTTTTGCATTGGAGAACTGGGATGTAGGCAAGAGGTGAGAAGATTCACCAGAGACAGAACAGAACAGATAGATTTGCTGAAATACACTGCTGGGGGAAGTAGAGGGGGTGACAGGAGAGGTCTGTTGAACCGTATGTAGCTTTGCTACCTGACTGGAGATTGAACTCAGGCCTTAGTGGTGATAGTGCTGAGACTTAACCCTCAGGCCACCAGTGAGGCCCCGGCTGTTGTTTTCATTTTTGGGTTATTGATAAGGAGATTGTCATGATCTTCAAAAATGTGACAATTTTCTAAAGTTGTAGAATATGCTGCAACAATTTTGGAAGAAATTATTTTTCTTCCTAATTTTGCTGAAGTAGAACTAACAGAATTGTATATATTTAAAATGTACAAAATGATAAGTAATATACATACACATTGTGAAATATTTACCACAATCAACAGGTTGATCACGCCACAGTTATTTTTTGTGTGTGTGTGGTAAGAATGCTTAAGATCCACTCTCTTAGCAAGTTCAAGTATAAAGAACTGTGAATAACAGTCATTTGACTATACACTACACCCTCAGAGTGCATTTATTTTATAACTGAAAGTTTGTATCATTTGACCAGCACCTCCCCATTTCCCCCCAATCTCTTTTTTTAGATCTCACATATAAAGCTTCATATAATACCACTTGTACCACTGATATGAGTCTTTCTCTGTATGATTTATTTCATTTAGCATAATGACCTCCAGTGTCATCCATATTACAAATGGCAGAATTCCTTCTTCATGTGGCCTATGTGTCATTATCCCACTGTATATATCAACCATTATTAAAAATCCATTTATCTGTCCTGGGCACTTCAGTTATTTCCATGTCTTGGCATGAGTAATAATGGGAGTGGAGCTACCTCTTCAAGATACCAATTTCACTTTCTTGGGAGTATATCCAGGAGTAGAATTGTTGGGTCATAGGGTAGTTCTATTTCTAATTTATTCTCTATTTTTAATTTTTTGCGGCACTGCCAAACTGTTTTTCATAATGGCTATAATAGTGCACATTTCTACCAGTAGTTTTTTCTTCACATTCTCTCCAGTATTTCCCTTGTCTTTTTTTACAATAATCATTCTGACAGGTGTGAGGTAGATCTATCATAGGGGTTTTAATCTGTATTTCCTGGTGATTAGTGATGCTGAGCCCTTTCATGTACCTGCTGGTTATTTGTATGTCTTCTTAGAAAAATGACTGTTCAGGTTACTTGCTCTTTTTAAGTTGGATAATTGGATTTTGGTTTTTTTTTTCCTTCCGTTGATCATTAAGTTTCTTGTATATTATGGAAATGAATATCTTTAAAAAAATGTTTCCTATTTTTTACTGTTGGGTTATAATACTGTATATGTCTTAAGGGTAGAGATTCACATTTCTACAAATACAGGTTATCACACCTTGCCCACCACTAAGCCCCAGAAATCTCTTTCCATTGTCCATTGGGTCTCCTTCCCTTTTTGCTCCTATCCCTATAACCTCTCCATTTGGTAGCTTCAGCTCTACAGACAGAATTTGATTGTGATTCTTTGGTTGTAGTAACAGAAATAATATTCTAAGTTATGCAAAAAATGAGAACTTATAAAATTACAAGGGAACTGTGCCAAAATCAAGAACAATAGTTAAAAATAGGCCTCAGTCACTGGTAGCCAGTCACAGAAATAAAATCTTGCCAGGGTAAGCAAAAAGGGGAGTTTATAATTAGGATACAAGGGTTTTCTTACTAAGCCAAGGGCAAGATTCATGAAGAGTAGAACAAGGGGATGGAGCACTGTTCAAATGACAGGAATCACGTTTTCTCCTGATCTCTGCTTTCCGCCTTGCAAATGCTTCATTGCTCTTGCATTGTAGATTGGCTGTTTTTATTTTCCTTCCAAACCATAAGATGGAACATGCAGCCCATAGTTCCCCAGTTCATTCCTTCTATGCCAGAGATTAGTCAAGGATAGGCTGTGTTATCTCCAAACTCAAATATCTTAGGAAGCTTTAGGATCTTAACAATATTTGAGACAACTTTCTTCACAAGATAGGCAATAAGATAAAAAACCAAGAAACAAACAATTTTTTTAAAAACGGGTTCTTACAGACCTTGAGCTGAAATGATTCATTAGATTTAGGGTGGATACAGGGAGATGTTATCACAATGCATAAGCATACTGTGTAGAAATGACCAGGTATTTCAAAAGAGAGGTGTTCTAATCCTTTTTAATATTTTCCCTGGCACAGAAATGATAAGCTAGATAATGCTATTATCTTACTTGAGGCAAGTTTCACTTAGTGTAATAGGTATGATAGATTTCATGGGACAATATGAAAAGGTCTTGGTATGAGTAATTTAAATACAAAAATTATATTGTTCTTTGTTGATTCCCCCCCACCCCCCAGGAGAAAGAAAAGGAGAAACTAGTTATATGGAGAACACTTAGGAGAAAAGGAAAAAAGATGAATTACATGGTGGATGTCAGAAACCCATCAAAACTATAAATAGAAATTTAATCCTGGGTCTCTCAGATGACAGAAAAATTCTGATCATTTCATTGATTCAGGTGCCTATGTGCATAGCTGCTTCCATTGTCATCAAGGGGGTGTGAGGGATAAGGGTTCATTCTTAGAACTAGATATGAGAGAAGAGAAAAAAAATATTTCTTGGATTCTTCAGAATATTCCAAGCTCCTCTCAATGGTCAATCCGTTTTGTTTTTGCTTACCAAAATCATGACATAATAAGATTTGAAATGCAGATGACTTATGTATTTAAAATTCAAAAAAGCTGGTGGAGGTATTCCATCCAGCCTGACCCACATTAAAATAAATTGAAAATGTCAATCGTATAAGGAAATGCTCTGAATTCTTTATTCAAAAATATAGTTGTGCTGAAGATTTCTTAAATTAATTCTTCTGTATATTGAAATACATTTGTATTACTATGTCTTTTGATGAGATACAAAGAGTTAAGTTAGTGTTCATGACAACACTCTAGTTCTTGTAATTTTGTTTCTGGAAATAAAAATGGGAAAGGCAAGTAGGACTACTCCATAATAGAGAGTAAAAAAAAAACAATATAATAGTGGATATGTTAAGAGACTCAGAAGTTGGTCATTCAATTTTAACTTTACATGATTTCAGTGTATACAAAGCTTCCCCAAAAATCATTCAATATTATGTTGAAGGTTTTGTATTTCAACCTCTGTATTTCTTCGCGTAAATATTTCCTTAATGTTATCATCTTTTTGATCATCATAAAGTGTCTTACGCAGTACATTTTCAGTACATTCATCTAATGAAATGGTTGATAGGTATGAAAATACTTTTTCTATTAGAGGTTCCCTGAGAAGAGGCATTGGTGAGCTCTTTTTTGATGGAGAATCGTCAGTAAACCAGTCATCAGCAGCTTCTATACTTTGACTATAACAAGAATCTGATGGTATTGTTGATATGCTTAAGGTAGCACTGCTGCAGTTTGTTGCCACACTAGTCTCTGAGGGATCACAAATAACCTTTTTTGTTGCAAGGCAGAACTCATCTTTAGAGTGATCTTCAATTGCTATAGGAGAAAATTAGATTTACTATGAATATTACATATTCATGAGCCAAATCTTAATTATAAAGATAATGTTTCTTTTTTATTTTTTTATTTTTTTTTTAAAGATTTATTTATTTATTCGTACAGAACTGGGGTACAGGCCAGAGATGTGGAGGGTGAGAGGATTCACCAGAGACAGAGTGGGAAGCAGAACAGAGAGATCAACGAATTACACTGCTGAGGGGAGCAGCGGGCGGGTCAGGAGAGGTCTGCCTCGCCATGTGGTCGCCTCCGGGGCAGGCGGGAATCGAACTCATGCGGAAGTGGCTTTAGCTTCTTAGTGCAGTGCTTTAACCCGCTGCGCCACCAGGGAGGGCCCAATGTTTCTTTTTTAAATGCAGACTTTTTAGAATTAAATGGGCAGGAAGATGCTACAGTGAAAATTCTGAGTTGCTATCATTTGTATAGTGCTAAATATGTAACTGGGAATTGGCAATATCTTCATGATAAAGAAGATTAGAAAAGTTTGTTCTGAACAAAGTCAACCTACGTAGGCTAGAAATCTTAGTTTTTGAGTGTCCCTTAAAATCTGAAAAGTTAACTAGTTTGTTGACTAGTTAGTTTAAAATTATCTAACTTAAAAATATATATACTTCCTTGAGCAGATAGGTTATAAGCTGTTTGTCCACAGTGGGAAAAGCCTGTGGATTGGCTTTATGTCAATAAAAGTAACAACTTTCCTATAGATCATTACAATTTATAAACTGGATTGGAATACTTCCATATCCCATTTTTTTCCAATCAATAATTCATCAAGGTTGTTATTGTTAGCATTTCACAAAAGAGAACACTAAGACTGAGGCCTGGAAAAACAGTTCATCCACAAACCAAATAAAAAGATAAATTTCAATCGAGATTTTTGATATTTTTAAGGCTCTAGTTCTTCTACCATTCCATTATTTATGCTACTGATTGATATTTAAAAAAATTTTTTTAGAAACTATCACATTTCTATAACATCATAAAATATCCTTTATATTAACTTATAAATAAAATAATTTATGAAACTGGTTTACATATCTTTTTACATTTTATATTGAGCATTCCTGATATTATGCAGCAGGGTAATGTTTCAAGATATTAAGACATACTATGCAATATATATAAGGGGCAATGACCTTTTGCCCTCCAGCAGTACTATATAGCCTTGAGTATGGTGCCTTTGAATATAAATAGGGACAAAAATTAAATTTCACATTTTAACATCAGGTGATATTGGAAAGTTTGTTTTCTAAAAATATATGTGGATTCACTTACTAATGAACTAATTTTTCCCTTGAATTTTCATGTGTTATAAAAATACTTAGTTAACATTTATGATAACCTCTTAATTCTTTAAGATATTAATCAAGTATAAGTTGATTACAACTTCTTTTAATAAATATTGAGGAAAAGTACCTTTTGTTTGCGTTGTTTCCTTTCTTCTTTGCTCCCCCTACATAAAAAAAATATTATTTGTATTTAAAAACAGTTTTTATATAATGACTTCCATATATACAAGAATAGTATTAGCATAACAAATTCTGATAGAATTTTTTTCTGTCATGAATTTACTTCATTAAAGTATAATGATAGAAAAGAAAAAGATTTGAGCTATCATCTTGAAAAAAGAATAAAGACTGGTTCAAGAGGGTAGTCTCTGCAGAGGAGTGCACTAGGATTCTTTCTCTCCTCTCTCTAACTTAAAGTTAGTTAAAACTACAGAACAACAACAAAAAAACCCCAGCAATTGGGATGCTTAGACTTACTCATTTCATTAACAACAAAAGAAAAGTGAATTCCGGCTGAAGACTTTTACAAAATTTCAACCATTTTGAAGTAAATAAAGTATTTCCTCAAACAATGCGTGCCAGCTGTATTCTGGGAAGCTGGTAATGTGGTAGTTCTCAGACTTAGAGCATTAGAATCACCTGATGTACTTGTTAAGATGCTGATTCTTGGGTATAATATCAGAGAGAACCTACTGTAAAGATTCTGTGAGTGGGGCTTGGGTGTATTAATTCTGATATCCTCCTGCAATGATGTTGATTCAGATTTTCCTTCAAGATCTAAACAATGGACTAAGAAAGTGTTTTGCGATGGAGTGAGCGAAAATGAAAGTGGGATGAATAGATATGTAATATCTATATATGCACACATAGGATATATAGAATAGCATTTTTTCACATAAACACATAGGATATATAGAATAGCATTTTTTCCACAACAACTTTGTCACTTTTTTACCTTTTATATACATATGTATACAGGTATATGTACATATACATACATACATATACACACATACATACATATATACTTGTGTGTGTGTGTATAAAGGCCAACATAGATAACTTCCTTGTTGTGGAGAAAGGGAATTCTTATACACTGTTGATAATGTAAGTTGGTGCAACCATTATGGAATACAGTATGGAAGTTTCTCAAAAAGTAAAAAAAATAGATCCATCGTGTAACTCAGCAATCCCACCTTTGGGTATTTTAATTGAAGGAAATGAAATCACTCACTTGAAGACACCTGACCCTTCAGGTTCACTGCAGCATTAATTATAATAGCCAAGACATGAAAGCATGAAAGTATCCCCTATAAAAGATGATTTTTCTCCCCATCACTCTCTACTATGAGCCTGAGGCTCCAAACAAACATTTTTTACTGAACATATTACTTCTTTTCATAACACATTGTGCTTTAATTCTTTTAGCTTATCTAAGCCTAGATTCATATCTTATATGAGTATATAGCCTCAGTGCCAAAACTAGTATTGCGATAGGCATTCCAAAAATATTTATTAAATGAATGAATACTGAATTTAAATTGAATTTGAATTCAGTATTCAGGATGTACATTAAAACACTGGCATCTATCCGTGCTGCTGTTTATTTATACATGTTGTAAGACCATTAAAGTATAGTAGGTTTTGGAATAATGTTGTTTCGTTCAGTCATTTTAGTTAAGTGTTGATGAGAAGAAAATTCTGCCCAGGGGCCACTGTTGGTATGCAGTTTTCAGGTTCTCCCCATTTCTGTGTGGGTTTCCTGCAGGTCCTCTGTCTTCTTCCCACATCCCCAATATGTGCATGTCAGGTTCACAAGCATGTTGAAATTGTCCCAGGAGGAGTGGGATGGATGTGTACCCTGGGCTAGAGTGGTGAGCTGTCCAGAGTTCTTGCCTTTTGCCCTGGGCTGACAGGATGGGCTCTGGTCACCCAACACCCTGGTCTGAAAGGAGCAGGTTGGAAAATGAATGCATGAATGAATAGATGGATACAAATTATGTTTAGCATTTTAAGTGTTTGGAGTCTTTAGAAGTTTGCATATGGTTTTGTGACCAGAAATATGCTATAGGAACTTAACTTTCATCAGCCAGCCTATGGTAAAATACTTTCCATTACGTGCCTTTACACTCAAAATCTCCTTTCCCCAGACAACATTCAATAAGGACCTACCGCATTTGTTCTGTTTAGTTAAACCAGAGTTTTAAATTTCTACTAGCCTTTTCTTCTATGTAATGTTTCTGGCAGTTACGTCATTACAGAAAGTTAATTATGTATCTCGTTTTCCTACTATACTATACTAGCATTTCCATTGTCTGGGGCCCACTTTACCATTCTCAGTAGGCCAGTCTAGAGTTTGCAAGGCTTAATAAATCCTTGCTAAGTTCTATTTAATTTCAGTTATTTGGTTAGGTTAGCTTATCTGGCTATCTGAGTATCAACTTATCTACAAATTTCTATCCTTTGACAGGCCTGGTAATTTTGGTGGTTTTACATTTATTCTTTTCTGTTTTCCTCAACAATTCCAAAAAAGACAAATTTGGGTCTCAGGCTAGAGATATAGAGATGCAACTGTAGATGGAGACATTTTCCTTAGTTTTTGTTCCCTAGAGATTAATTCTAACTGCTTTGGTCAATTTAAATTTAACTTCATATTTTGTATCTCAAATTTAAAATAACTGTGTATATCCTGTATTTAAAAATTTCAAGACTACAGTGCTAACAGCGTGGTGTCAAATTATTTGAATGGAGTGCTAGGAAATATACCTTACCTGTAATTGGAATTTTTCAGTATGAAAATTTCGAGAAATAAAAACACACTGAGGATGAGATTTACCCTTCGCCATTAATGGCCTGTGCCTACATCGCACATCCTTTGCTTGAAATTTGGAGTTTTGAAATATTTCTCTGAAAAATATTTTATAAAGAATGTTAGTAAACATGAATTATGAACCAATTAAAATCATTTGGTAGTTATATGTAAAGGTTTAAAAGAGGAAGAAAATATATTACTGTTTAAAAACACAAATCAGCTTATATATTTCCCTCCTATATGTCACTGATTTCATTACACCTGTTTTATTCATAGAATGTTAAATTAAGCTACTTCTTGTGCAAGGTTAATATTTCCAATTTGAAGATTAACCACTAGGTTTTTATATTCTTCTTGTTGTGAGAGAGTCAGTTGTCTATAATGTTACTCTTTTCATAAATTTGTCTTTATAGCAAAAGAAATTAAGTAAAATAAAACTCATGGCTCAATTTTTAAAAAAAATTATTTATGCATACATGAAATGATGTACGGGCCAGAGAAGTGGAGAGTGAGAGAATTCACTAGACAGAATGGGAAGCAGATCCACTGAAATACACTGCTGAGGGGAGCAGTGGGAGAGACAGGAGAGGTCTGCTGCTCCATATGTGGGTCAGCTGTCTGGCGGGTTAACCCTTAGGCACCAAGGAGGCCCAGAAAGTATATCTTTAGAGGAAAAAAATAACCATGTTTGACCCACATTCTCCTTCAGGATCTGCTCCCTCTCCACCTCTCTTACTATGGTTTATTTACACTGGTCTTCGTTTCTTTAGCAGTACCAAAATCATTCCCACTTGGGGCCTTTCTACATTTTATCCCTTGAGCTTTGAAACTTCTTCTACAAGGTTTGCACATGGCTGGCTCCTTCTTTACATCAGGTCTCAGATTAAAATTGTTCCCTAACATGTTCCCTATTAGTTCACTATCTGTCTCCTCACAGTGGCACTGCAAGTCTATGAAACCAGTCTAGGAACCTTGTCTGACTAGTTCACAGTCATATCAGTACCTAGAACAATGGCGGACACCCAACAAGTATTTGTTGAAAGAATGAATATGTAAATAATTTCTATATTTTGATTTGTGTAAATGGATAGATTTATTCATCTGCAGGAGGGAACACTGAAACTGTGTGTGGGAAGATCATGTTATGATGTATACTTTTCACATTAGACAGAGCAAACATTGAATTGATTAGATAATTTAAAAGCCAATTTTAGAGTGGAAAGGAACTGAGGTGTCAGGTATCGTTTTTTGGGCCTCTGGCAAAAGATACCATTTAAACCATGAACATTCTGTCTGCTCTTTTCTTAAATATCTCCTAAAGAAAGAGTGTTTTTACCTTTAAGTTAGTAGTCAAAAACTTACTTTTTTTAGCTTTATAATTCAAACTCTACTTTCTAAGTAATAAAATTAATTTAATTATTCCTTAAAACCTTAATGTGTGAATATTGCTATTGTACTGTTAGGACTATAATACTTTTAGAACTTCTTTCTTCAGATTATTTTACACATGTATAGCTTTCCCTGATCAAGTGTCCAAGACCAATTAAAGAATGAATAGTAAAATATTTAAATTTGTTGTTGGCTTTTTCAAAGAAAAAAGTTCAATAATCTAATAAACCTTACCTTCGTTTGCAAATTAGGAACCACAAAGCTGATGCCAAAGCAAAGAAACCAATTCCCAGAGTAACAGCACCAGCAGCCAGAAAATAGGTTAAGTGGTTAAAAAAACCTACACAAATAAATTATAAAAAATTACTTCATGCATGTATCTTCATTCTTTAGGTGAAATTAAAAGACACATCTTATGTCATATCTATGACATTTCAAATGCTACTGAATGAAATATTAAGACATTAAATTCTGATCTGAAGCAATTCTAACAAACACCAAGTTTCTGCACTTGAGAGTTGCATGGACCGCATGTTGGTTGGGTCTTAGGGCACCTTTCTCTGACCCTGCCAGGATTTTAGACCTAGATGTTGTTTTCATACATATGTCACCTCCTTTTCTTATCTAGTTTCTCCCTTTCCAGACTAGCTGTAGAGATTAGTGTTATTTTTATAGTCTCTTTCTTCACCATCTTCCGAGATCAGATACTTTTCATTTTAAGATTGTATCATCAATCATTGTATGAGTATACTAAAAAAAAGGAATTTTAAAAATATCTTAGAAATCTTTAAATGCTTCATTTCCACTGTATCTCAGGAATAGTAAAAGACCATTGCCTGCTAAATGAAAGGAATATAAAATAATAAACCATCGATTTATAATTGGAAAAACTTATAGGAGTTACATAGTATAATTCCTTCATCTTAACAGATGATGAACTTAAGTCCTGAGTAAAAAGGAACTGAATTAAGATTATGCAGTAAACTAAAACCAATTTTATAAATTATAATATCCTTGCTACCAATCATGTAAATACTAGTATGTATTAAGAAGAATTAGACTAGTATGTATTAAAAAGCATGAGATAATTATAGTCAGGTTGCTCAAGTATTCGTTAAGATCCTGAAATCAAGTTATTAGAGCATAAAGTAAGTTATAAAAAGGTTATATAGTTTTCAAGGGCACTAAGGTGATATAGGAGTATATTATTTGAGGTAAAGTGTCTAAAAGTATAAAGCTGGTTAAAGGTCTCTATTTGTAAACATAAGTTCCATGAAAGATCAAGCATGATAAGGACTTTGTCCCCATATTTTTGTTGTTTCCTGAGTAATTTTCGGCTTCCAAGATGGTGCCTCTCAAATCTTAATTTTCTTTGGGTTCAGAAATGTTTACATTTGGAACTAATTAATGGTACCAAAGAAGTTATGTAAGTGATAGTTATAATATAAAAAGAAAAAAATCTAAATGTCCCACATTCAGAAGTCTATTAAATAACTTAATGATATTACATATGAAAAAATACAGTACTATTTAATTATTTAGAACAGGTTTTCTCAACATCAATAATATCAATATTTGGGACCAGACAGTTCTTGTTGAGTGATTGTCCTGTACATTTTACCAAAGATGTCTGTTCACAGTACCAAATATATCCTTGTGGGGGGAGGTAGAATTGCTCCCAGTTGGCACATACTGGTATAGCAGTGTAAATAAACATCAGAGAGTATTAAAGAATAAAAACAAGATAGGTAAAGTAATATTTTAAAATTAAAAAGATAGAGTTCTATTTAAATATGAGCTAAAAATCTATATGATCAAAAGAAGAAACAGAATACAGAGAAATAACCTAGACTAAATCATACTTTGGTACAATGAATGTCTCTTTTACCAAAATCCCTGTGAGAAGGGAGTCCTGGGCTTTTGAATAAAAGCCAATTCAAAAAAGGTTTAAGGTGGATTATTGGAAATAAAAAGTTCAAAAATTTTTAAATGGAGTAAACTCTTGAATACAAAGATTAAATGAAATGAAATTTAATACTGAGAACTTGCCCAATTACATTAAGAAATGCAAATAAGATAAGTTGTGAGACTTGGGCTCCATAATTTAAACATTGAGAGATTTTTACTGCCAAACCCTTGACAAGAATTGGTGATTTCAAGATAAATAAATATGATTATGGAATTTACATTCTGAAGGGGACAAGGCAATAGATAAGTTCATGAAAATATTCTTAAATGTTATGTAATGAACAGTTGATAATACTATGAGAACAGAATCAGTTTGATGAAATGCAGGAACAGTTTCATAAGGATAACACCTGAGTTCTACCTTACAGAATGAGTGAGAGATAACAGCGAAAGTGGGTAAGTCTTAAACTCTCTTCCCTCTTAAAATGCTTTCCCCACAATATCCTTCAGCTTTTATTTAACCCTTTTCTTACCATTTGTTGTCAAAACTCTTAAATGAGAATTTTTACTTCACAACTGCTATATCCAACAACTTTAGTAGCACAAAATTGAAAGGTCTTATTAACCTCATGCGTTCTCTATTGTTTCTGTAGATTCCTCTTTCTCAGTCTATCCTTTAATACAGCTATCTATATCTAGAAAAATATGTTAAAATATGTATGGATATACATGTAGGTACACATATATAGTGATACATAAAGGATATCTAGATATATATGCTAGCTTTTGACATGTCACTGAGACAAATTTATCCAGGATTACTAGGTATTTGTACCCAGGAGTGCTTTCAGGTTATTTTTTAGAATGGTTCCTGAGTTCCAAATTCTGCTTTCTTTTTTGAATAGTCACAAACTACCTTTTTTATGCCCTTAGAGTTTTGCCAGATTTAGTTCCAGGTCTATGTTATTTTTAAGCGGTTTATTCCAATTCAATAGATATCATTGGACATCAAACAGGTGTGAGGTACTGTTTGAGGCAACTAATGAGGGATTCAAAAGCTATTAGGTAAGAATAATCCTTTTCCTGAATGTTTAAAAATCTATAATGAAATGTAAGCAGAGTTTATATGCAACCAATATAAAAATCTGACAGCGCAGATATGTTATAGTTGGTCTCTGATCTGATTGAAGGCTGACTATGTCTGTGAACTTGGAAAAGTTACTTAAGATACTAGACGTTAATGTCCTCACTTAAACATCTGTTTCACAGAGTTAGAGTAAGGAATAAATAATGTTATTTATAATTAAGAATACCTTATATGGGAAAGAATGAATAACATAATAAATGGAAAGACATCTCAAACTTGACATACATATACCAGGCCATCAAACAAGAATTAACAAGTTTTTAGAATTATTACTAATAGATTACCACAGTCTTTGTCAACAATGTAATTAATTTTAAAGTTAATAGCCTTTATATACCCTAAGATTTTAAGCTTATGCTTGTGGGAATTTAAAATCACAACATAAATAATTCATGTGATAATTAAAATACATAGAACTAGCCAATAATGTAGTACTTGCAACAACAAAGTTTTGGAGCCAAAATCAAGAGAAATGTATGCCCTTAAATGCATGCTTTGGAAAGAAAGAAAAGCTGTAAAATAATGAACTTAACATCCAAATTGCAAGTTAAAAAAGACCAACAAAATAAGCCTAAATAATTCAGAGGACAGAGATAATAAAGAACAGAAATTAATAAAATAAGAATTAAGATTCCTAGTAGAACCTAATAAGATTAACAAAACTCTAGTAATTTAACCAAATGAAATAAATAAAAGCCATAAATAAATAATGTTAATAATGAGGAATGAACATAATTAAAGCAGAGACTAATAAAACATTTTGATTAATTTATGCTAACATATTTTAAAATTTATTCTAAAATATATGTACCTAAAAAGTGACTTACAAAAAGTGACTCAAGAAGTAATAGTAAGCCTAAATGAACATGTGTCCATTTAAATGAGTCAGCAGTTACAAAATTCCCCCAAAGAAAATAGCAGGCCCCAGTAACTTTACAATTTACTGTATACCCATAATTCAAGTATTTCTTATCTTGTACAAGCTCTTCCAGAGAATAGAAAGAGATTTCTAGCTTTTCAAATACATTTTCCTCCTCTTCCCAGGCAAAAAACTAGGTTACATATTCCAGCTTCCCATACCATTAGGTAAAGCCATGTGACTGAGTTCTAACCAATGGAATTTGAGTGGAAATGATGTCATAAAAACCTCCCAAACATCTTTCTCCATGTTCTTTCTCTCTTAAGGATGGTGGGCATTGATATGATCCCCAGGGAACTTTAGAAATTTTAGAAACCAAGCCTGGATTTGTTAGATGACATTAAAACTACCTAAGGAAAAATCTATAGTAAAAAACTGCAATGTTAGAAAACTATATAAATAACCTTGAAAACTAGAGTAAGTTGAACAAATTATGTCCAAAAAAAAAAACCCAAAAAAATCTTAAAAACAACTGAAAGCCAATGAAATAGCAGAAAAATAAAAGCTGGGTTTGATCTGACCCTTTTTGCTTTTCTCTATTTCACACACATGTCACACTCTCTGGTATTTGTCTTCTCCCACTGATAAATTTTACTTAAAATAATCCCTTTTGGCTCCATCCATGTTGCCACCAATGGCTGGAGCTTATCTTTTTTGGTAGTTGAGTAGTATTCCTTTTCATATATATGTAACATAGAGAGAGATTAAAATAAAATATTTTCAATAAATTTACTCTAAATTATATACACCTAAAACATGACTTAAAAAGTGACCAAAAGTAATAGAAAACCTAAATGAACATGTATACATTAAAATGAATCAGCAGTTATGATATATATATATACACATGCCATATATAGTTTATATGGCATGTGTATATAAATTATATCACACATTCTTAATCCATACAGCTACTTTTTTGAGAATTTAGGTTTCCACAACTTGGCTATTATAAACACATATTGAAATTCTAATGTTCAATGTGATGGTACAGGAGGTCATAGAGCAAAGGTGTTATAAATGGGATTACTGCTTTAATAAATTAAAAAAAAACACACACATAGCTCCCAAGCCCTTTCAATTATCTGAAGGGACCACAAGAAGACACTTTCACCACATTTAAAATCTGACTCTGTGACTAGATAAATCTGATCTCAGATTTCCAACCCCTACAACTGTAAAAATAAGTTTTTGTTGTTTATAAGCCACCAAGCTAGTGGTACTTTGTTACAGCAACTCAAAATAACTAAGACACACAGAGAATGTTGTCATGTATGTAGAATTTTCCATTTTAAATAAACTAGTAGGACAATTGAGTTTAATAAGTTTGCAGTATATAAGATCAATGTAAAAGAAAACACTTGTCTTCTGAAACTATTAAACTCTTAGATGAAGATAAGAGAAAAGTGTCATGACATTTGTCTAGGAATAAGTCATGAATCTGACACCAAAGCATTGGCAAGAAAAGCAGAAATAGACAAATAGAAACCTTAACTATAAAGGAAGTAATCAACAGAGTGAAAAGGCAACATGCAGAACCAGATAAAATATTTGCAGACCATAGAGGCCAATTTCCAAAATATTTAAGCTATAACCCAATGACAAAACACACACACACAAACACACGCCAACTTAATAGTCCAATTAAAAATGGACTACATGTGGTACATATATACAATGGAATATTACTCAGCAACCAAAAAAATGGACTACAGACTCAGACATTTTGCCAAAGAAGACATATTAATGGTTAACAGAGATTCAACATCATTAACCATGAGGGAACTGCAAGTCAAAACCACAGTGCAATAGATGTCACTTCACACATTTCAGGGCTGTTGTTATCAAAACAAAACAAGACAGTGTTAGTAAAGATATGGAGAAATTGAAACCCTGTATAATGTTGTTGGGAATGCAAAATGGTGCAACTGGTGTAGAAAATTGTGTGGAGATTCCTCCAGAAATTATAAACTGAATCACTAATATGATCCAGCAAACCCACTTCTGGGTATTTATCCAAAAGAACTGAAAACAGATCTTGAGCTTGTTATATTAACACTTCAATGTTTGTTACTCTATTCACAATATCTAATGTGTGGAAAACCTAAATATCCATGAGCAGATGGATGAATGGATGAACAAAGGTGGAATATATTATTGAAAAACAGAAAGAATCTAAAATGGAAGTTTTCATGCCTGGGCTTCTCCCAGACTTAATATGTAACCTAATTGAAGTTTCATCCTCTCCCAAAATTTGATCATCTAGATCAACCAATCTGGAGTTTCTTGGTCTGCACTTGTGAGGTAATCTGCTTGATAAAGAGGCTTCCTAGCCTTCTCTTCTCCCCCACATACCTTTTCCTGAAGGAGGGTGATTTTGGCTGAAATAATCTTTTTTTCTTTCAATAATAACTTTTCTCAAGCTCTCTCTGACTATAAAAAACTTTTGTGCAAGTATCTGCAAAGCCTCATTTCACCTTATAACCAGAGAGAAGTTGTAAAAGATACCTCAAGATAATATGTATTTTCATACTGTCATCTACAAAAAGATCTGAATAGTCACTTTGCTGGGAATGCTGCCTATTTTGTCATTGATTCAATCACTGAGGGTATTCTTTTTTTTTTTTTTAAGATTTATTTATTTATTCGTACAGAACTGGGGTACAGGCCAGAGATGCGGAGCGTGAGAGGATTCACCAGAGACAGAGTGGGGAGCAGAACAGGCAGATCGACGAAGTACACTGCTGAGGGGAGCAGCGGGCGGGTTAGGAGAGGTCTGCCTCGCCATGTGGTCACCTCCGGGGCAGGCGGGAATCGAACTCATGCAGTGGTGGCTTTAGTTTCTTAGTGCAGTGCTTTAACCCGCTGCACCACCAGGGAGGGCCGAGGGTATTCTTTTTAAACAGTGCTAGGGAGTTTTGTTTATGACTATAGAAGATGCAGAACATTAAGATGTCACAGAAGAGTCTTTTGACTTTCCCTAGAGTCATCTTCCAGTGTTATCTCTTAAGCTTCCCCTGCATTTTCCTAGATTCTTTTCTCTATAAACTTCTTTCCAAAAGGTGAGTAGGTCATAGACCAAAAGAGATATACGTCTCTTGTTAGAATATGGCCTAAAATATTAGTTTTCCTCATTTGAATTAGCCAGGTATGCTATAATTAAGGCCATCCTTTGCTTTTTTTCATGTAGCTTCAGCATCCTCTGGTAGGAGATATTTTAGTTAATAACTTTGGAGGAAAGCTTTTACAGTTTTGAGAAACAGATTTTATAGCAGTTTATTTTACATTATCAACTTCACAAAATATTATATTAGTCCTTAACAGCAGATTTAAACAAACAATTACTTAAGTATAATTGGTACTATTAGTACTACTAGTAAATGGTAATTACTATTATAGAAAGTTTTCCATTTTAATTTTAGGAAGAAAACAAATTTCTCATGCAATTTATCCTAGTTGTACCTATTTGTTTAGTATATTTGGATTTCTGTTCCATCTACGTATTTATTATCTGTTAAAAAATATATAAGCATAACTGTAAAAGGTAGAATGCACTATTTAAGTATAATTTTGTCCAAAATTGCTGCTTCTGGTAATACAGAATTGATGAAATGGAAAATTGTCATTCGTAAAACAAGTAGCAAAGACCCTTAGTTCTTGTAGGGTGCTTTTCAATTACATAAATAGCAATTGATGATATATAAAAGAATATAGAAGAAATACCCAGATATTAGTGCTTTTTCATTTCTGAAATCCACTCCTATTTAGTTATAGATGTTGCTGCTTCTCAAGAGACCTCTAGTAAGCAAAGAAGAATCAAGAGAACAAAAACAGAGTAGTGACTATGGGATTAACAGGAAACCCAACACCCTAAAATTCCAATACCAGAGATAGGAATTGTTTGCTAGGAGAGTAAATTATATTGGCTGTTATGTCCCTAAGAGTGTGCTATACTATAGAACTGAGAAGGAGGTGGGATTTAAGCCAGAACTAAATAGATGCATAAGCTGAGGGTAAGTATAAAGGAGGGAATAAAATACCTAGGAATCAAAGAATTCTAAGTGCTTATCAGCAGAGTAATGAAAACTGCTGTCTGGGCCCAGAGAATAAAATATAGTAAGTGCTTAGCCAGCCATGAAGAGAATCGCCAGGACAAAACTGTTACTGTCTGCTTTCCTGAGTCTTCAGGCATATCTCCCTGAATGTACAGAAATTTCCAAGGCAAACTTCTATGTTAACTACACTTTCACAGCCCCTTGAAATATGACTGTAAGTACTGCTACTTTTACCCTCCTATCCCTTTCTAATCCTGATAAAAATTTCTGGAGAAAATATGTATGTCATTTAAAATCATTATGCATTCTGAAAGATCAAATATAGGACTACAAATTAATATGAGCCACTCAAAACTGGAAAAAGAACAAAAGGGGAAAAAATAAAGTTGACTAATCTGTTCCACGGTAAACTAAAATTTCCAAGCCTTAGAGAATCATATTAGTACAGTGAGCAAAGCTTATTGCAAACAACCGCATAGATGTGTCTGATTACATTAAATATACTTGTATAACTTCGTTCATGTAGCTGCATATGAGAAAGATGTCCCATTAAAGTGCAGTAATAGCTTTTATAAATGCTGTCTTGACCCGGTCTTGAGACCCAGGCTAGAAGCTAGTCAGTTTCCTTTCTTGAGAAGCCAATTGAGTCCACAGTCCCCTTTTCCCTTATAGGGCTCTCTCACACTCCAGGCCGCTGCACACTCACTCTAGTTCTCAGGCCCAGGTACCCAATCACCAAGGACAAGCCCTATGTTCCTAAACCTGATGAAACGTTCAGACTGGCTTATCTGAACCCTCCTTACTCTGTCCCCCATTTCTTGCTGCAGAAATCACAATAAAGCCAGTGCCCATTTCTGGTCTCTAACGGAACTCTGCCTTGAAAAGGGCGCTGGTGCTTGTCCCCACTGAACTGTGCAGTGTGCTGTTTATCTCAGGGGTCTCTGAGTATGATGAGCTGTTAATCTCTTTCTGGCTTCTTCAGAGCTGCTTCTGAACTCACCATTCAAGATAATATTGTTAAATAAGTGTCAATAATGGTTGTCAGTAGTTCTATCCTATGCAAGTATTTTCTGTTACTCTGAGGTTACTACAAATCAGCAAAAAGGACTGATGTGTTACTGA